ATGTTTAGTGGGACTTGGATTCGAAGCACCGGGCCGCAAAATGTTAGAAAGTATAATTTTGTAATAGACTTTCAACATTCCTAGAGTTAACATCAAAATTACCTGAAGTGTAAAACGGCTTCAGAAAATTTCGGCAAACTACAGACCATTTAGTCAGACTCACTAAAACTATAATAGATAGTTTCAACTAAGACATGCACTGTCGCCTGCTTTCTCGATGTATAGTAAACATTTGAAACTGTAAGCACAATGGACTACGTTACCGAACGAAGCAAATGGAACTACCGCTGATTGTCTAACCTTTTAGATAACAGAAACTTTAGAGTGAATGTAGGGGGCACCTACTCAGAGTATTTTACTCCTGAGGCAGGTGTTCCCCAGTGGAGGGAGAGTGAGCCCTATCCTTTCCATCATGAATGTAAGCGACATGTCATTAACAAATCTAAATTATTGTTTAACATCTCAATTCGCGAATGATGTGGCGATATGGAAGAGTTCCACAACCCCATCATTAGTAGCCACCAACTTGCAAACACTTGAACCAATTCTTAATCAAATAGTGAAATATTGCCGGAAACACAGAATCAAAATAAATGTACCAAAAACAAATATGATTATATTTTCAAAAAATTATAAAAATTCGTAGACACAACCCATAACAACCTATGTCAGTATGTAGAATTTTTCTAAATACCGCTCAATCAGCAAAATTTCTAGGCCTAAAATGTGATTCGAAACTAACATGGAGAAACCAAAGTAGCCAAATTAAAAAATACAGTATGGCAACGAGCAAACTACGCTAGGGGGCCGTCAGGTAAAAATAGCGTTACATCATCAGAAAATATCAAAATCTATAAACAGTATATACGCCCAGTAATAGAATATGCCATTCAAGCATGGAGTAATGTAGCACCATTCAAGATAAATAAATCATAAAGAATTCAGTAATTAGTACAGCTTATAGATTTCACAGAACAACGAATTCTAATTTCATGTACAAATATAAAACCAATCCGTGACAGGCTCCTAGATTGCTCGTTCAAGTATTTTGATAAAAATGCATACATGATGATGATGATAGTCCTAAGTATCTTTCACCATACAATATGTATAATAAGAAAGTCCTCCTACACTAGACAATAAAATATCGTTTTGATTAGGTTATCGTAAGTGCATTTAAAATGGTTTTATATGTCAAATACTCGTTCGATAATGTGATCAAGTGAAAAAGTGATGATTTGTTTTTGAAACTGTTTGCGAGCTTTTTACGACCAACTGAAAAGAAGTGACAAATGAATACTAAATGCTACAGTGTTGTATTCATGGACATGGCCCTGAAAAGAAGGAAGAAGAATTAGTATATTTTTGTGTGATAATATCATAATATTAATATAACATTTGATAGACCTAACATCTAAAACCGTTAAGGAGGGAAGAAGAGGTGTAAAATAAAGCCTGACCCTCCCAGGTTAAGCACAACGACACGACCAAATACCAATCACGACATTA